GGAAACGTTCGATTCGACCACTGTTTTCGATGAGTCTATCAAAAAAGAATTTCGCAGTCGCTGGTGGGTAATTTTATTGCTTCGAAAATTTCATCTGTCTGTTATTATTAAAAACGAGTTTCAATAAACCATCCGCAAATACCCAATGAACGCTCAAATATGTCCACAAGAGGCTTCAGCATACTATTAAAAAAGTAAACAGAGCCCAGAAACATTCATGTTTCCAAAGGAAAAACCTGCACGCTTCAAATGCATCGGGTAACGGCACATTTTTAAGTGTTTTCGTAGAATACGATTCTAAGGAAAAAATCGTTTAAATCGTTTTCACCATATCTGGCAAACAATTTCATCAAACAACCTACATATCCATTCCCTTTTGCTCCACAGTGTTTACCACAAAAAAAAAAAAATTCTGTAGTCTTGCACAAACTCTGATTGAAATTGAATTTTGTGAAATTGCCAAAAGTCATATCGATGTTTGTAATTCAAAGATTATGCAAATTTCATAGATAATGTCTACTGCGAACTGTTGGAGACATTCAAGTAAATAACTATTTATGCGATTTTTAATCATTTTTCTTGGCTTCGACTGGGTATCATAGTTTTTGTTGCAATTATAATGTGTGCAAAGATTTTTGCTTAAATTAAAAACACATCTACGAGTAAAAATAGAAATCTTGTGGAAAAGTTTCTAAAGTGTTAGGAGAGTTTTTTTCTAAAGAAAAAACCTCCAGAAAAAGCAAACTTGGCTGCTCTCCTGCTTAACTCTTCTTTAAACACATTCGTCGCTTCTTTCATTGATTCAGTTTCTTACGTACTTTGCACCGTCGCCACAGTAAAGATTGAATTCAAATTCTCTGAAAAAGTAAATTTTTTCCACTCAAGTTCATTTCATTATTTGTCTTCTCGCCAGCGATTTGTTAATCGATGGTGTTTTTTAAACTTATAGTGCTCAGTAGTTTTGAAGTTGTCCTGTCAGCTGATTCTTTCGATCTTACTTTAAGGCATATTTTTCTGCTGCTACTGAGTCCGTTTGCTTTTTAAGAGGCCCTATACTTGCATGTCAAAAGACTCCGATGACAAAGTTTCTGAATCCAACTCTTTCACTAATTTCACAGATGCGCAATTTTGCGCTGCGCAGAGTTGAAATTTTACTGTTATCTATTCTGAACACTTCAAACCAAATAGCTTTCCCGCACGGTGCCAGAGTTTGTTGTTCTCACAGAACGAGCAGGAGTGAGGATTTTTGAAGGGTGCCCGAAAGCTTGACTTCGACGAAAAGCGTCTAAAATATTTGTTGAACCAAAAATAGCTTTACTTTCAGCGCCACAGAGCTTGCTACAATTGCACATACGGGGAGTATGTAATGCAATGGCACTTCAAGTGTTTAGCGACTTGACGTTCCGATTTCAAAGTCCTCAACTTTATTTTTTTTAAGCAATGAATTGGAATAAAGTAAACTCTAAGCAGATTATGTTGGTAACAATAACACCCTTATGCTGACTACACACGGGGTCACTGTTGAAACAACATAGGGGCAACCGTTGCGGCAACTTCAGCAGTTTGTGCTCTGTTTTGAAATGAACATATGGAAGATAATTTTGTTTTCTACAAAAACAACTTTTCAGCTCTCTTGGTTTCTTGGTATGCCACCGACTGAGCAACCAACGCATGATATCAAAATACATAGTTTGATTTTCCGGCAACGATTGCGGCAATGCGACTTTCATTGGGCAAAAATGCTACCTACGAGGCAATGGTCGAAGCAACATGCCCTGGTTGCTTCAACGTTTGCCTCGTGTGTAGTCAACATTATGATTTTGGTCTAACTTTCCATCACGAGCTTTC